ACCATTTGTAGTGGTTCTGTACATAGAACTTGTAGGTGCATTCACTATTTATTCAACAAACACCAGTGTGATCAAAAACAACATGGTATTGTGAGGGAGAACTGCATAAGGCAGAGATAGAGAGAAGATGAACAGTGGCCTGAGGAACAAACAGGACGTCATCAAGGGCCAGTGTGGAACCAGTCGGCAGAGACAAAGAGACACGACCAATGCTCAATGCATAAATTACAGAGCCATTCACACCACGGATACCACATGGTAGAATAGAGCAAAAACTGACAAAATTGGATTGACAAGGGGTGAGGTGAGTGGAAGCACCAGAGTCAAAGAAGAAAGAGGGAGGGAGCAGAGTCGATTGAGGAGAGGAAGCAACTGCACTAAGAACAGAGTCATTCCCATTAGCATGATCTGCCAGCCAAGAAGGCGACGTTGTTGCCAGAGTGACAATCTCAAGAGAGGAAGTAGGTGGAGGTGAAGTAGCGAGATAATGAGCTGAGCCATCAGAGTCAACGAAGAAAGCACATCTGGTGGGATATTTAAATGTACTGGAGCTGTGAGGCTTGTTGCATTTCTGGTCATGAGCAAGATGTTTGCAAGCAAGGACCTCATCATGTTTGCCTTCCATCTTACCACCAGGCTGAAAGCAATTGTCAAGGACATGGCCCGTATGCTTACAGTTGGCGCAGGACTTGGAAGAAGATGGTTTAACTGGTGCAGCAACAAGAGCAGAACTGGCAGGAACAGAGGAAGGACCCAAAAGGGAACCAGTGGTGACTTGGTATTCGAGTTCCAGATGATTGATAATGTCAGTGGAAGTGTAAGGAGCGAGGGGGGAGGGATTGGACAAGGCAGTGCTAATCTGAGACTGAAGATGTTCGAGATCACCAGACATGGCGTGAAGTAGACCAAGGCAGAGAAGAGCGTCCTCAGTGGGGAGACCAATCTTGAAAATACACTCACAGATATTCGCCATACAATGTGCAAGGTCAAGATAGGATTCTCCACGCACAAAACGAAATGAGAAGAACTCTTTGAGAAGCAAGAGTTGCACATAGACACCCTCATTATTGTGACGATGACAAAGGGCTGTCCAAGTGACTGCAGCAGTTGAATCCTGAGTTTCATGATCCTCGAAGAATTTACACTCCGATGATCCAGATTTGAGAGCCAAGAAGGATCGCACCATACGGTCATTAGAGTACCAAGTACTATAGTTGAATGGGTTGCTGTCCTCATCAGGAGCTTTGACAGCCCCTTTTAGATAGCCCACAAGGCCACAAGTGTTGAAACTTACTTATGTATATAGAAAGTTACTACGGACTCTAGACACTCTATGCAACAGACACCATTGACTGCTCACCTCGTTCCCCAGATCGAGTGCAAGGACTGTCAGCTCCCTAGCCAGGATAACCTTCCTTTCCAATAGGTTATGAGCCCCGGCCCCTGATACTCTAGCCAAGTACAGAGCCCCTCGTGCCTATCGCCCGCCTATTTCAGCCGCATCGACGACTCTGCTCCTGCTTCAAGAGTAGCCCTCTTGTTGCCACGTCATCGGTTCGAAATCCAAACCATCGCGCATCTACGCACTCATCACAAGGCAATTCACTGCTCTACACCCTCTGTCAGAGTAGTATTCCTCCCTCACCATGTCCACCGCTACACCTACCGCTCCTCCTCCTCAACCTGCGCCCGCCACAGACGTCCACACAGACCACCGCTCCCCCATCTCCGTGTCCAGTCTCAGTCAAGTTGAGAAGCTCACTGGTGCTCTCAACTACAAGGCGTGGGCTGACAATGTTCAGTCCATCCTCATGATGTACGACTACTGGCCCATTGTCAAGGGCACAGAACTTCGTCCAGGCAATGATGACAGAGTGGGACAAAGGGTCTGGGACAGGAACGATGACCGCATAATTGGTTTTATCCGTCTCTTGGTTTCATCGACCATTCGGTATTCGCTCACCTCGCTCAACACGTCCAAAAGAATCTGGAGTTCTCTAGAGTCCTCCTACGGTTCCGCTGGCGACTTCAACGACTTCCTCGCCTTCAAGAGTCTCACTTGACTCAAGATACCTGAGGGATCCAATGCTCGCAAGACGTTCGACAAGATGTCGACCACCAGGGATAAGTTATCCACCAACGGTTTTCCCTTCACGGAGAAACAATTTGCCTACCTCTTCCTCGCCGCTCTTCCCCCCTCCTTCAACTCTATCGTCACCGCCATCTTCGCCACAGAAAACTTCGACAACGCCAACTTTAAAGCATCAAGCATAGTCGCTCCGCTACAGAACAAGCAGTCGCTCGAGGCTGAGTCTACGGCCAAGACAAACGCTGCTAAATCCAGCAAGAAGTCAAATGGCAAGAAGGCTGGCAAAGGCAAAGGCAAGGGCAAGCTACCCTCTGCCTGTCCGACATGTAGAGGAGATCATTGGAAGGCGGACTGCCCGAAATCGAAAGAAAAAGGCAAGGAGAAGGACAAGGACAATAGTAGTATGGTTGTAGCTACAAACGCTGTCATGATGGATGGAGAATCGGAGCCCGTTTACTTGTATTCATCATCTGATCAAGTCCGCTTCATGGTTGACAGTGGTTGCACCGACCACTTCACACAATTCACCTCCGATCTCACCACCACTAGACCTGCTCATGGTCACATCACAGTTGCCTCAGGACAATCGCAGACTTACGATTTATGTGGCGATACTTCATTCAAGCATCAAGTCCCTGGTCAACGCTCTAAGGATGTAATCCTACAAGACGTTATCCAAGCTGACTTCCTCCGCGGTCACTTTCTCTCTGTCTCGCGCCTTACGTCCAAAGGCTCATCTGTCCTCTTCACTGCGGACAAGGTTTTTGTCTTGAAGTCCGCTTCTTACGAAAACAAAGACATCTTGCTTCAGGGTTCTCTCAGTGAACGTCTCTACTGGTTTGACTTCACTAGGAATCCTACATCATCTAATCCCTCTCGAACGGTATCTCTTGAAACCTGGCATCATCGCTTTGGACATCTCTCCTATGATGCTTTACAACGTGCTTGCAATGGTAATCGTCTTACTGGCTTTGATCCCTCAGAAGGTCCTGCGCCCTCTGGTCCATGTGAAGGTTGCGAACTTGGCAAACAACATCGCCATCCCTTCCCTCCATCGGACAAACGCGCTACTTGCCTTCTAGAACTAGTCCACTCGGATGTTATGGGTCCATTCCAAACCGCCTCTATCCAAGGTTCTTCATATGTCGTCTCCTTCATAGATGACTATTCCTCTCTTGCCGCTGCCTTCTGTATAAAATCGAAAGATCAGGTCACGACATGCTTCGAGGAGTTCAGAGCCTTATGTGAACGACAGACTGGGGAGTCTCTCAAAGCTCTTCGCTCTGATCGTGGTGGTGAATACCTTAACAAAGTTCTTGGTGCACGGTTTGCGGAATTGGGTATCGAACACCAGTTTACAACACCATATTCGCCTCAATCCAACGGTCGCGCTGAACGCTGGAATCAAACGATTGTCTCAAGGATCAGGTCCATGCTTCAAGCCTCTGGCCTATCCAATGGTTTCTGGGAGTATGCACTCGCAACATCTCTACATGTATACAACCGCACCCCGGTCAAACGTCTCGACTGGCACACCCCACACGAACTATGGAACAAAGGTCATGTACCTGACGTCTCCTACTTCCGTGTTTTTGGATGTCTGGCATATGTCCACATCTCTGATGCCCTGCGTCAAAAACTCGACCCTACGGCTAAAGTGGTCACCTTCATTGGGTATGAACCGAACACTAAGGGATATCGGTTCTGGGATAGGTCTACCCGGTCTGTCGTTGTTTCGCACGATGTAACATTTGACGAGACTTCCTTCCCACATTGCGAATCTGAGCCGATTCGCACAGTGCAGCCTCCAACAGCGCCTGCACCCCTGCCTCCCCTGTCAATCGACCTCTCACCTGCTGAGCAAGTCCCTATACCAGTAGAGCCGGTGGCACCGGTTCCTGCTGAAGACTTACCTTGTATCATTGAACCATCGCCCGAGGTTAAACCCGAAGGCATCGAGTTCCCTGTCTCACGTCCTCCCTCTCCACCTCCTCCAATCCATCCTCTCCCTCCTGCTACTCCACCAGTTCGTCGGTCCGGTCGTGCACCAAAGCCTAATCCTAGGTTCTTTAATCCCGACAACGTTGCTTCTCTTACTGAGTTGGACGAGCTGTACTGCGAGGAGATCCCTGACGAGGTCTTCCTCAACGCAGCAGGTGTGCCGCATGAGGATGTGGATCCGCTCACACTTGGCCAGGCTATGCGCTCACCCAATGCTGGCAAGTGGAAAAAGGCTTGTGAAGAAGAGTTGGAAGCAATGAGGAAGAACAAGACTTGGGAACTAGTCAATCGCCCTGCTGGTCGCAATGTGGTCAAGAACAAATGGGTATTCAAGCACAAGGCTGACGGTCGCTGCCGCTCACGTCTAGTTGCTAAGGGCTTCACTCAGGTTGAAGGAATAGATTACAATGAAACTTTCTCACCCGTCGCTCGCTACGAATCCATTCGCTTTCTGTTTGCTATGGCGGCACAGGAAGACTGGGATATTCACTCTATGGATGTCAAGACCGCATTCTTGAACGGCGAACTCGACGAGGAAATCTACATGGAGCAACCTGAAGGTTTCACTTCCCTTGGGCAGGAAGATAAGGTTTGCCGCCTCAAAAAAGCTATCTATGGGCTGAAACAGGTGTCGCGCACATGGAACTTAAAAATCCATCGCACTCTGGTCAAGCTCGGCTTCACTCGCACGTACTCCGACACTGGTGTTTACGTCTATCGTCGACAGAAGGGGGATTCAATCACTGTCATTATTCTTTATGTCGACGACGTCACGCTTATGGGGGATTCCATGAATCACATTCAACAGACCACACGCGCGCTATCTAAGGCCTACGGAATGACCGACCTTGGCAAGATCCAGTCTTTCCTTGGTATGCACATCACTCACGACAGGCCCAACCGCGTCCTTTCCATAGATCAAGAACACTACCTAGCTGGTGTGCTTGAACGCTTTGGTATGTCTGACTCCAACCCCGTTCGCACCCCTCTTCCCTCGGGAGCCAAACTTGTCTCACCACTTGTTGCGGACCCCAACTATGTCGCTGACACTGAGCTCATTGCTCAATACCAATCTCTCATCAGATCTCTCCTCTATGCTGAGATAGGTACTCGTCCCGACATAGCGTATGCCATAACACGCCTCGCCAAATACAGCCACCATCCGTCAAAGGAGCTTCTGGGCTATGCGAAACACATCCTCCGGTACATTCGCGGCTCACTCACTCTTTGACTTCGCTATTCTGGCACCACTGACAGAGTAGCAACTCCCTCCTCGAACCTCATCGGCTTCTCCGACTCTGATTGGGCAGAAAACCGGGACACTCGTCATTTGACCTCTGGCTTCATCTTCACTATGTCTGGTGCAGCTATATCCTGGCGCTCACGCCTCCAGAAAGTCATGGCATTATCACAACACACTTAGAGACTCACTTTTAGTGTTGTAGGAGTTGAAAGGTTTTGATAGAGT